CATTTAATTGTTTTTGCAGGTCATTAACAGTGTATGAAAACATGACGACATCATCCGCAAAAAGAAGTAACATTAAATTATCAATATCCTGTGTCACAAATACACATATAACTACACTCATTATATACTTCTGTTACAAGTTCATTAATGAAAAAGATAAATAAAGCTGGGCTTAATATGCAACCCTGTTCTCACACCACTAGAAGTGGAAAACCCTTCTGTTCTACCAGATGAAGTTTTAACAGAAGAAACATATTTCTAGTGACATTAAAAAAGTAGTACATACAGCAATGTATTTCTATCAACGTTATCAAAAGCTTTTTTTAAAATCGATAAAAGCACAATAAAATCTGCCTTTTGGTTTACATAAATATTTTGAACACAATGCTTGTCATATGAATATATTATCAACTGTTGAGTAATTCTGACGGAAACCATGCAGCTCGACAGTGATAAAAGATCATTTACATCTAACCAAATTCTAAGGCGCTTGTCTATAATAAAAGTGTACAATTTTCCTGTAACATTCAAAATGGAAATACCTCTATAAATGTTGGGGTCAGAACGTTTACCTGACATCTTGAAAAAAATTCAGGGGGTACTCCTTCACCTGCAGATTTACCAGTTTTAAACTTTTCAGAGCATCTTCCTCAATCGGTTATTTCACCTGATAATAGATCATCCATGAAAGGCAAATCATTACAATCCCCACAAGAATGTGAATTAATATATTGGGAAACCAAACAATTAAAATCGTTTGCATCAACATTTTCAACTTTGGATTTAACAAATTATTGAAATAACCGTACCAAATATCAAGAGACATCGAATAACTTGAAACATTTCCGCGTATAGCTTTCTTTAACGTCTTTCACAAACTCTACAATCTCCACGTTCAGCACACCACTTTATATCATATATTATGTTATAATGGCATATCTGTGTTCACAGTATTATGTTTCAAATTTGGCTTTTTGAAAATACAGTTTTCCGAGTGTGTGATTTAACATAATATTTTAGGAACGTATCCAAAATATTGCTATTAGATGTTACGAAATGGAAAAGCTTCGAAATGTTTTGTGCTGTCTATAGTGCCCCTTAGAACATATTATTCTGCCTCATGAGCATATAGTACAGAATACACATGCTATAGTGCCTTTAGAACATTTCATACCATCTCATGGACATATAGTACGGAAGACACATGCTATAGTGCCTTTAGAACATTTCATACTATCTCATGGACATATATACGGAAGACACATGCTATAGTGCCTTTAGAACATTTCATACTATCTCATGGACATATAGTAATGGAAGACACATGCTATAGTGCCTTTAGAACATTTCATACTATCTCATGGACATATAGTACGGAAGACACATGCTATAGTGCCTTTTAGAACATTTCCACATACTATCTCATGGACATATAGTACGGAAGACACATGCTATAGTGCCTTTAGAACATTTCATACTATCTCATGGACATATAGTACGGAAGACACATGCTATAGTGCCTTTAGAACATTTCATACTATCTCATGGACATATAGTACGGAAGACACATGCTATAGTGCCTTTAGAACATTTCATACTATCTCATGGACATATAGTACGGAAGACACATGCTATAGTGCCTTTAGAACATTTCCATACTATCTCATGGACATATAGTACGGAAGACACATGCTATAGTGCCTTTAGAACATTTCATACTATCTCATGGACATATAGTACGGAAGACACATGCTATAGTGCCTTTAGAACATTTCATACTATCTCATGGACATATAGTACGGAAGACACATGCTATAGTGCCTTTAGAACATTTCATACTATCTCATGGACATATAGTAATGGAAGACACATGCTATAGTGCCTTTTAGAACATTTCATACTATCTCATGGACATATAGTACGGAAGACACATGCTATAGTGCCTTTAGAACATTTCATACTATCTCATGGACATATAGTACGGAAGACACATGCTATAGTGCCTTTAGAACATTTCATACTATCTCATGGACATATAGTACGGAAGACACATGCTATAGTGCCTTTAGAACATTTCATACTATCTCATGGACATATAGTACGGAAGACACATGCTATAGTGCCTTTAGAACATTTCATACTATCTCATGGACATATAGTACGGAAGACACATGCTATAGTGCCTTTAGAACATTTCATACTGCCTTAGTTCCAACTGCCTGATATACGAACTTGATAAGTACTATATGCTGTTTACATGGTTCGCAAGAATCAACTTTACAGAGACTTCCTGTGATTATGGGTTTAGTTTCAGCTATATTCCAGCAATATCACGGCGGGGGACACAAGAAATGGGCTCTACACATTGTACCCATGTGGGGAAGGGCACCCAGTTCTTCGGTGTGACAAGCGAACGGTTTAACCACTATATCCAGGGCACGCCACTGCCCCCTGTGATTGTGGACCAGGGCCCCTATTCTCGAAAGTGTCCCAGCTAAGACAGATCCTAAGTATTTAAGACAGAAGTTAAGACATCCTACCGTAAGGATAAGACCCATTCTCGAAATGATCCTATCCCTGTCCTAACTTGTGCTACCTATCATAGCTAGGGATAGCGAGCTCTTCAGTAGGTGAGATAGAAAACCTTCATTTAGTTGGGGATTCCCTAAATAATACCCATGATTCGTGGCATAAAAAAAACCACATAATATAAGGAAATTCAGCTTTTGATGGACTTAGTAGATCTAGAAGAAATTATTCGATATTTTCATCACATTATAGTAATTGGAAATGTTTTTTGACAAGGCGATAACAATTTTACTTCAGAATTTGAAAGTCTGCCAAAAAGAAATAAGGATATTAAAGATATGTGTAAAAACATATTTTCATTGTTTTTGTTTTTTATGAAAATCATGACTTGAACTCTCATTATGCGTCATCTCACAAACTGAAAAATTCACCTAGGAAATAAACAGGAGCTACTTCCCCTATCAAGTTGGCCTTGACATTGACATTTTACGTGAATGTGACTGAAAAGAGCAATGTTGTGATTAAAAAGGCCGAGAATAGGTAAGAATTGAACAAATCTCTTTTGTAGATCTAAAGAATGCGTGCATTGCAACAAGTGTGTCTATTCATTACCGATTAATTGATAATATGAACTGAATAAACTCTTCATAACTCATCAAAACTGTGTGCTGTTGTAAATTCAAATGTAAGTTTGACGAGTTATTTTGTTTGACGTCAAAATTGGTGAACAAACAAGTACCACTCTATGTTGACTTCCACTAAGATAGACTTAGGACACGTCAGACCTATCCTAGTATCCTAAGTTAGGACATCCTAGCGCTAGGATACTTTTCGAGAATAAGGTAGGACACCTATCCTAGACCCTAGGATCAAAGTTAGACATCCTTGGGCTAGGATCCTTTCGAGAATAGGGGCCCAGAAATTATTGAGAATTTTGGGAATATGTTTAATTGATTTCTAGTATAAGCAACCTTGACAAGCTATCAAGTGCTTGGTTTCATTCAAGAGAGACAACTCCGTTAATCCTTTGATATTATATTGTGAAGAGTTATCCCCCTTTGTTTACTTGCTAGCAGACGACATTTTCAGTGATCCTCAGTATGGATGATTTAGAGAAGAGGAAGTTGATTTTAGAGTATATATTATAACAAGGGCATCAGATCAGCTAAAGTGATTTAAAGTAGAATAGGCATCCCTTTGTCCACTGTTTATCGTGTTTTGAAAAAAATATTGCAAATGGATATGCCATTGACCACCAGGGAGGCGCAGGTAGGCCCAGGAAAGTGACTGTCGGTGACAGGAGGCGGCTTTGGTATTCTTGTTTCTAAAACCAAACGAAGGAGTTTAGAAAAGTTAAGGCTGGACATGGTTGATAGAGGAACTGTGACTGTCTGTAAGGAGACAATTAGAACTGAGCTGCAGGCAATGGGTTGGCAGAAAAGTCGAGGAATTCCATCACCGTTCATGAAACCTGAACAAAAGGAGCGAAGGTTGAACTGGTGCTTACAGCATAGACATTTTAACTGGGACAATGTGATTTTCTCAGATGAAAGTTCTGTGTGGTTGTTTCCCAATACACTGAAATTCTGGACCGAACAAACTGAAAACCTTTGTATCAGCGCCCAAAGTTCAGTCCGAAATTTAACGTGTGGTGGCATATCTGTGTTAGGGGCAACGCCCTCTGTGTATTTGAAGGAATATGAACAGTGAGCGGTACACAGATATTCTCGAGGGACATTTACTTCCATCTGCTCACGTGTTCTATGGAAATGTTTGGATTTTCCAGCAGGACAACGACCCAAAACATCATTCAAAGCATTCACAGGCCTGGTTTCGGAACCAAAATGAGACATTATTAGATTGGCCGCTTATAGTCCCGACCTAAATCCACTGAGAAAAATGTTTTGGGACTTATGAAGGAGAGTGTCGATAAGAAAAATCTGACAAATATTGCTGAAATGAAAGAAGAGGTGGTCCGATATTGGGACAGCATAGACCACGACTTTCTAACTTCTTTGATCAGTAGTATGCCCCGCCGCATTGAAGCCTGCTTTGCTGCCCATGGTGACTTGACAAAATACTAACTGTTCACCCTGCGTTTGAATCTGGAGTTATGTTCTGCTAATATTCACATTTAATACGTGAGTGATGAGTGAAAACCCATTACAATCTTTAAATTCTCAATAATTTCTGGTTGTACTTTATGTTTCGCTTGTATTCATTGAAGGGGAACTTTACGGATAGTTTGTCCGTCACACAAGCATTCAGACTCCCTCACAGAGGCTCATGACGCTGTTTGTATTTGAAAGGACCGGCGGTATCTCGATTGCATTCATTCATACAAGACAGTGAACTCAAAGCGGGTTTTAGAAATACTTTGTGAGGGCTATGTGTGTACCTTGGTGAAAAGCACAAGGGACAGGGTTCAGTGGGTACTCGCAATCCTTGTGGTATTGATAGGGTCGTCTTACCTGACGTTGTCCGGAAAACAGGGAAGCTTGGCAACAAATGCTTCTCCAATGTCTAGAGTCTGAAGGTCTGTCTTCACAGGTACGTGGTCAGTTTTGCCGTCAGCACTCATGTGGTATATCTTGACACGCACAATGTTACACTGTAATGGTGGGTACGGGTTAAGGGACGCGTCTTACGGACGTATCGTGTTTTGCCATGTTTGGGACATGACATTCGGGCATTTGCAACAATGTGTAGATATCTGTATAGTGTCTGGATATCTGTACAGTGTGTGGAAATCTGTACAGCATGTGGAAATGTTTACAACACGTTGGTATCTATACAACATGTGGATATCCTGCATAGGATGTGGATAACTGCACAGTGTGTGGAATCTGTACATCATGTGGAAACTGTACAGTGTTGAAACTGAACAGCATGTGGAAATCTGTACAGTGTGTGGAAACTGCACAGCATGTGGAAATCTTACAACATATGGTATCTGTACAACATGTGGATATCTGCATAGGATGTGGATATCCCACACATGTGGAAATCCTCGGCATAATTTCCCATATTTGTACAGCATGTGGATATATATACATGCATGGTGATCTGTAACGATATGTGGATATATGTACACATGATGACATCCTGGTACAACATGTGAATATCCATCAGTATGGGCAACCCATCCAGCACAGTGAGAAGGTACAGCATAGTGGGAAGGCACAGACATGAGAAGAGCATAGTGGCACAGTAGTGAGAAGGCACAGCATAGTGAGAAGGCACAGCAAGGGAAGCAGACAGTGAGAAGGCACACAGTGAGAAGGCACAAGCATAGTGAGAAGGCACACAGTGGGAAGAGACATAGTGAGAAGGCACAGCACAGTGAGAAGGTACAAGACAGTGAGAAGGCACAGCAGTGAGAAGGCACAGCACAGTGAGAAGTGAGAAGGCACAGCATAGTGAGAAGGAACACAGTGAGAAGGCACAGCACAGTGAGAATGGACAGAGATAGTGAGAAGAGACAGCATAGTGAGAAGGCACAGCATAGTGAGAAGCACAGAGAGTGCATAGTGAGAAGGCACAGCACAGTGAGAATGGCACAGACAGTGAGAATGGCAGTGAGACATGAGTACACACAGTGAGAAGGTACAGCAGACAGTGAGACAGGCACAGACATATGAGAAGAGACAGTGAGACACACAGACATAGAGAGAAGAGACAGACAGACACAGTGAGAATGACACAGCACAGTGAGAACAGACAGAGACACAGCACAGCATAGTGAGAATGTGAGACACAGCAGAAGGCACAGCACAGTGAGAAGGTACAGCATAGTGAGAAGGCAGCAGAGCAGAATGCACAGCATAGTGAGAAGCACAGACAGGAGAAGGCACAGACAGTGAGAAGGTAGAGACAGTGAAGAATGAAGGTACAGCATAGTGAGAAGGCACAGCATATGAGAAGGTACAGCATAGTGAGAAGGTACAACATAGTGGAGAAGGTAGAGCATAGTGAGAATGGTACAGCATAGTGAGAAGGTACAGCATAGTGAGAATGGTAGTAATGGCATAGTAAGAAGAAAGGAAAGACATAGTGAGAATGGTACAGCATAGTGAGAAGGTACAGCATAGTGAGAAGGTACAGCATAGTGAGACGAAGGCACAGCATAGTGAGAAGGTACAGCATAGTGAGAATGGTACATAGTGAGAAGGTACAGCATAGTGAGGAAGCATAGTGGAGAAGCATAGTGAGAAACAGTGAGAAGGCACAGCATAGTGAAAAGGTATAGAAGGTACAGCATAGTGGGAAGGTACAGCATAGTGAGAAGGTAGAGCATAGTGGGAAGGTACAGCATAGTGAGAAGGTACAGCATAGTGAGAATGGTACAGCATAGTGAGAAGGTACAGCATAGCATGGAGAAGGTACAGCATAGTGAGAAGGTACAGCATAGTGAGAAGGAATAGTGGGAAGGTACAGCATAGTGAGAATGGTACAGCATAGTGGAAAAGGTACAGCATAGTGGAGCATAGTGAGAATGGTACAGCATAGTGAGAATGGTACAGCATAGTGAGAAGGTACAGCATAGTGAGAATGGTACAGCACAGTGAGAAGGTACAGCAGCATAGGAAGAAGGAGAATGGTACATAGTGAGGAAGGTACAGCATAGTGAGCATGGTAACAGCACAGTGAGAATGGTACAGTGGATATTGTGGTATAATCATAGCACATGTATAATCACAATATGTGTATGCAATCACGGGAAACAGCTGGTTCAGTTTCATACAATCCTTAAACACAGTCAGTTGCCTGCTGACTGATTCCCGGATTGCCTGTTTTGGGAACTGGATCCTTCATGCAAGGATCTACACCAGGCACGGGTCACGTTTTAATCCTCTTTGATAACAATTCCTGATATTATATGCAATTTTGATTTTTCTGATTTCGGTATTTGATTGTAACTTTATTCCTTTTTAAGTAACTTGGTAGTGATACATACCCTACCTGGCATTCAATGTTGGAGTGAACGATTCATTTAGGATCTTTGTTCTACTAAACGTGCTTCAAAATTGAACAAGGTAAAAGGCCTTTTTCTTAAATGTTTACAATGTTTTGTCATCGTATGGGAAATATAGCGTCGATTATTAGGAAAACTCAGGAATGTGTCCTGAGAGAGAGAGTGAGTGAGGCTGAGAGAGAGATCCAGTCTTTTATAGACAAGTTCCCTATAGATGCCATCACCCCAACCAATTATCTATAGTTGTCACAACCCCACCTATAGATGCCATCACCCCAACCAATTGTCTATAGTTGTCACAACCCCACCTATAGATGCCATCACCCCAACCAATTGTCTATAGTTGTCACAACCCCACCTATAGATGCCATCACCCCAACCAATTGTCTATAGTTGTCACAACCCCACCTGATGCCATCACCCCAACCAAATGTCTATAGTTGTCACAACCCCACCTGATGCCATCACCCCAACCAATTGTCTATAGTTGTCACAACCCCACCTGATGCCATCAACCCAACCAATTGTCTATAGTTGTCACAACCCCACCTATAGATGCCATCACTCCAACCAATTGTCTATAGTTGTCACAACCCCACCTGATGCCATCACCCCAACCAATTGTCTATAGTTGTCACAACCCCACCTATAGATGCCATCACCCCAACCAATTGTCTATAGTTGTCACAACCCCACCTGATGCCATCACCCCAACCAATTGTCTATAGTTGTCACAACCCCACCTGATGCCATCACCCCAACCAATTGTCTATAGTTGTCACAACCCCACCTGATGCCATCACCCCAACCAATTGTCTATAGTTGTCACAACCCCACCTATAGATGCCATCACCCCAACCAATTGTCTATAGTTGTCACAACCCCACCTGATGCCATCACCCCAACCAATTGTCTATAGTTGTCACAACCCCACCTATAGATGCCATCACCCCAACCAATTGTCTATAATTGTCACAACCCCACCTGATGCCATCACTCCCAACCAATTGTCTATAGTTGTCACAACCCCACCTATAGATGCCATCACTCCCAACCAATTGTCTATAGTTGTCACAACCCCACCTGATGCCATCACCCCAACCAATTGTCTATAGTTGTCACAACCCCACCTGATGCCATCACCCCAACCAATTGTCTATAGTTGTCACAACCCCACCTATAGATGCCATCACCCCAACCAATTGTCTATAGTTGTCACAACCCTACCTGATGCCATCACCCCAACCAATTGTCTATAGTTGTCACAACCCCACCTATAGATGCCATCACCCCCAACCAATTGTCTATAGTTGTCACAACCCCACCTGATGCCATCACTCCCAACCAATTGTCTATAGTTGTCACAACCCCACCTGATGTCAATAACTCCCACCATCAATCACCCCAACCAATTGTCTATAGTTGTCACAACCCCACCTATAGATGCTATCACCCTAACCAATTATCTATAGTTGTCACAACCCCACCTATAGATGCTATCACTCCCAACCAATTGTCTATAGTTGTCCAAACCCCACCTATAGATGCCAATCACTCCCAACCAATTGTCTATAGTTGTCACAACCCCACCTATAGATGCCATCACCCCAACCAATTGTCTATAGTTGTCACAACCCCACCTGATGCCATCACCCCAACCACAATTGTCTATAGTTGTCACAACCCCACCTGATGCCATCACCCCAACCAAATGTCTATAGTTGTCACAACCCCACCTGATGCCATCACCCCCAACCAATTGTCTATAGTTGTCACAACCCCACCTTGATGCCATCAACCCAACCAATTGTCTATAGTTGTCACAACCCCACCTATAGATGCCATCACCCCCAACCAACTGTCTATAGTTGTCACAACCCCACCTGATGCCATCACTCCCAACCAATTGTCTATAGTTGTCACAACCCCACCTATAGATGCCATCACCCCAACCAATTGTCTATAGTTGTCACAACCCCACCTGATGCCATCAGCCCAACCAATTGTCTATAGTTGTCACAACCCTACCTGATGCCATCACCTCCAACCAATTGTCTATAGTTGTCACAACCCCACCTGATGCCATCACTCCCAACCAATTGTCTATAGTTGTCACAACCCCACCTATAGATGCCATCACCCCAACCAATTGTCTATAGTTGTCACAACCCCACCTGATGCCATCACCCCAACCAATTGTGTGTATAGTTGTCACAACCCCAACCTATAGATGCCATCACCCCAACCAATTGTCTATAGTTGTCACAACCCCACCTGATGCCATCACCCCAACCAACTGTCTATAGTTGTCACAACCCCACCTGATGCCATCAATTCCCAACCAATTGTCTATAGTTGTCACAACCCCACCTATAGATGCCATCACCCCAACCAATTGTCTATAGTTGTCACAACCCCACCTGATGCCATCACCCCAACCAATTGTCTATAGTTGTCACAACCCCACCTGATGCCATCACCCCAACCAATTGTCTATAGTTGTCACAACCCCACCTATAGATGCCATCACTCCCAACCAATTGTCTATAGTTGTCACAACCCCACCTATAGATGCCATCACTCCCCAGCCAATTGTCTATAGTTGTCACAACCCCACCTGATGCCATCACTCCCAACCAATTGTCTATAGTTGTCACAACCCCACCTATAGATGCCATCACTCTCAACCAATTATCTATAGTTGTCACAACCCCACCTATAGATACCATCACTCCCAACCAATTGTCTATAGTTGTCACAACCCCACCTATAGATGCCATCACTCCCAACCAATTGTCTATAGTTGTCACAACCCCACCTGATGCCATCACCCCAACCAATTGTCTATAGTTGTCACAACCCCACCTGATGCCATCACCCCAACCAATTGTCTATAGTTGTCACAACCCCACCTGATGCCATCACCCCAACCAATTGTCTATAATTGTCACAACCCCACCTGATGCCATCACCCCAACCAATTGTCTATAGTTGTCACAACCCCACCTATAGATGCCATCACCCCAACCAATTGTCTATAGTTGTCACAACCCCACCTGATGCCATCACCCCAACCAATTGTCTATAGTTGTCACAACCCCACCTGATGCCATCACCCCAACCAATTGTCTATAGTTGTCACAACCCCACCTGATGCCATCACCCCAACCAATTGTCTATAGTTGTCACAACCCCACCTGATGCCATCACCCCAACCAATTGTCTATAGTTGTCACAACCCCACCTGATGCCATCACCCCAAACCAATTGTCTATAGTTGTCACAACCCCACCTATAGATGCCATCACCCCAACCAATTGTCTATAGTTGTCACAACCCCACCTATAGATGCCATCACCGCAACCAATTGTCTATAGTTGTCACAACCCCACCTGATGCCATCACCCCAACCAATTGTCTATAGTTGTCACAACCCCACCTATAGATGCCATCACCCCAACCAATTGTCTATAGTTGTCACAACCCCACCTGTAGATACCATCACCCCAACCAATTGTCTATAGTTGTCACAACCCCACCTATAGATGCCATCACCCCAACCAATTGTCTATAGTTGTCACAACCCCACCTGATGCCATCACCCCAACCAATTGTCTATAGTTGTCACAACCCCACCTGATGCCATCACCCCAACCAATTGTCTATAGTTGTCACAACCCCACCTGATGCCATCACCCCAACCAACTGTCTATAGTTGTCACAACCCCACCTGATGATGCTCATCACCCCAACCAATTGTCTATAGTTGTCACAACTCCCACCTATAGATGCCATCACCCCAACCAATTGTCTATAGTTGTCACAACCCCACCTGATGCCATCACCCCAACCAATTGTCTATAGTTGTCACAACCCCACCTGATGCCATCACCCCAACCAATTGTCTATAGTTGTCACAACCCCACCTATAGATGCCATCACCCCAACCAATTGTCTATAGTTGTCACAACCCCACCTGATGCCATCACCCCAACCAATTGTCTATAGTTGTCACAACCCCACCTGATGCCATCACCCCAACCAATTGTCTATAGTTGTCACAACCCCACCTGATGCCATCACTCCCAACCAATTGTCTATAGTTGTCACAACCCCACCTGATGCCATCACCCCAACCAATTGTCTATAGTTGTCACAACCCCACCTATAGATGCCATCACCCCAACCAATTGTCTATAGTTGTCACAACCCCACCTGATGCCATCACTCCCAACCAATTGTCTATAGTTGTCACAACCCCACCTATAGATGCCATCACCCCAACCAATTGTCTATAGTTGTCACAACCCCACCTGATGCCATCACCCCAACCAATTGTCTATAGTTGTCACAACCCCACCTGATGCCATCACCCCAACCAATTGTCTATAGTTGTCACAACCCCACCTGTAGATACCATCACCCCAACCAATTGTCTATAGTTGTCACAACCCCACCTATAGATGCCATCACCCCAACCAATTGTCTATAGTTGTCACAACCCCACCTGATGCCATCACCCCAACCAATTGTCTATAGTTGTCACAACCCCACCTGATGCCATCACCCCAACCAATTGTCTATAGTTGTCACAACCCCACCTGATGCCATCACCCCAACCAATTGTCTATAGTTGTCACAACCCCACCTGATGCCATCACCCCAACCAATTGTCTATAGTTGTCACAACCCCACCTGATGCCATCACCCCAACCAATTGTCTATAGTTGTCACAACCCCACCTATAGATGCCATCACCCCAACCAATTGTCTATAGTTGTCACAACCCCACCTGATGCCATCACCCCAACCAATTGTCTATAGTTGTCACAACCCCACCTATAGATGCCATCACCCCAACCAATTGTCTATAGTTGTCACAACCCCACCTGATGCCATCACCCCAACCAATTGTCTATAGTTGTCACAACCCCACCTGATGCCATCACCCCAACCAATTGTCTATAGTTGTCACAACCCCACCTGATGCCATCACCCCAACCAATTGTCTATAGTTGTCACAACCCCACCTGATGCCATCACCCCAACCAATTGTCTATA